CCCATGCCTCGCTCAGCCAGTGAGCGGGAACCGGTCTGTATGTGGGATCCGAACCCTCGAGCAGGAGCGCCACCGCGCTTCCCAAGCGGCGCACTATCCAGTGCGCCACCGGGCCGGCCCGGGACTAGCTTTTTAAAACTAAAATAAAACAGAAATAGAAAATAGAGGGCACAGCAAAGAGTATGGGCATTTTCTGTAAATTTTTGTTTTAGTTATACGAATCCAGACATCAAGATATAATGTATTTCGGGCCGGCCCGGTGGCGCACTGCTACAGTGCGCCGCTTGGGAAGCGCGGCGGCGCTCCCGTCCGAGGGTTCGGATCCCACGTGCAGACCTGCGGCTCACTGGCTGAGCGAGGAGCTGGGGCAACACCGAGGGTTGCAATCCCGTTGCCGGTCCCGGTCCGGTACGGGCGCGACACTGAGGGTTGCGATCCGTTGCCGGTCACGAAAAAAAGACAAAAAGACAAAAAAAAATATATATATATATATATATATAATGTATTTCATACTGAGCAGAGTAGCAAAAGTCTGAGAAAACTAACATTTCTTAACTTAAAAAGAGCATCTTTAGCCTCAAAAAACCAATAGATATGTTTCCACTAATCTTAAAAATGGTAATTAAAAAAAGAAAAATACAGAAAATGATCTCTTCAAAGTCCAAACCACAGAGTATTTGATCTAAATTAGCACAGGTTAACCTCTGATTCATATTACTCTAACTCAAAATGATAACCACAAAATTCTTTGTAAAGTTTCTAATAAGCAACAGATGGTCCAATTAGTTCAAATATTTGTTATAACTAAATTGTAAGAAAGTTAATACTTTGGAATTCCTTATGATGGGTGTGACGTGTTTCTCTAAAACTGACGTATCAAAGTAGTTACTGAAAACTCATATCCAACAAATGGGGGGTGGCACGCATGGGAGTGAAAACAACACTTACCTGGAGGAAATTTCAAAATCAAATGCTTTTGGAAACTTACTTTCATATTTATCCTTTCCCATGTAAATAGTGTAAGCAGACGAATTAACTAAGACAAAACAAAAATAAAAACAATTAGATAACTTTATCAGCAACAAAACTGTTTCATGCGGAAAACAAGCGACAAATTCTTAGATTAGGGGTTGGCAAACCGTGTCCCATGGGTCAAATCCAGACCATCCCGTTTTGGGACTGCCCTTGAACTAAGAATGGTTTGCACAGTTTTAAAGGGTTGAAAAAAAAGCAAAACAAAGAAGAATAGCTATAGAGACAGCATTGACTCACAAAGTTTAAAATATTTACTATCTTGCCCAAACAGAAAAAGTTTACCAATCCTTGTAAATTACTACCTTCCTACTTTCTCAGGGATATAGCTAAATGGCAATCTCCAGTTCAGTCCTTTAATTTCGCCTTCATCAAATTAAAAACAAACAAACAAAAAAACCACACATAAAAACCTATATACCTCAACCATTTAAAAACAAGTTCCTATAGTTAGCCAAATTTTATTTTGCATGATTGTATTTAGCCAATATTAGTTATATCCCAGGTGTGCTGCAAATTCTAATGGGCTCCCTACCCCATTCAGGGGAACCATGGCCCTCAAATTTCTAATCAGTGTTTCTGAACCCTAATTGTATGTTAGGGTTTAATTATGCCCCAGCTCCCCCTGAGATCAACTAAAACTAAATCTCTGATGGGGCAAGGATGGGCATTTGTGTTTTTTTACCCAAGGGAATCTAATGTGAAGTCAGGGTTAGGAACAACCATCCTAAATCAAACGAAAATGCTGGGTGTGGCTTATTTTAGGAAAGACATTTGCTTTACTGAGGTAGTGTGTCTTAATATGGACATCCTTGATCTGGAATCAAACAAAAAGTTTCCTACTGAAATTATAACTGGGTGCTGGGTTTCCAAGCTAGTCTACCAAAATGTGTTTGACCCCAGTTGGATCTAAACTCCTGAATTAATAGCCACTGGGCCCTCAGTCTCCAAAGCCTGGGATAGACAATAAGTAGTGAAGCATAAATAAATACTGAAGCATAAATATTGATAGACAGCATAGGTCCTGGGTTGGGCTGGACAGTCTGTTGGCTGTTGCCCCAGAACACACACACGTAAATGGAGCTCTGAAGGCCAGGGAGCAACACTATCATATATAAATAAATCCTTCTCTTAGAGACTGCTTGTACTTTCAGTAATGAGGAGCTTCTTAAATTATCAATCCCAGTTGCCTTTCTTGAGGAGGGAAATTTCCCAATTCCTCTGGTTAGCAGTTATAATGACTACAGTCCATAACTACTTGGAAGTAGTTGTGAGAAATACCTTGAAAAAAAGAGAATGTTTACATTAACTGGTTAAGAGAAATACTTATCTATAACAGCATTATATTAGCTTAATAAGGCCTTAGCATAGCATATAACAAATGCCGAAAGGATGAGAATAAAACTAAAAAGTGTTTCAGTGCCTGTCTCCATACCCTGGCAATATTTCAAGTGTTTTAATTCTATAACGTTACCACTATGAGTATATCCTACTAAAATACTCCTCCAAGAAATGATGTTCTTTTTACAACCTAAACATCCATTAATACAGACTAGTTAAATATATTATAGAACATTCATAAACACAATACCACATACCCATTAAAAAGAAAGGATGAAGAAATTAAGTGGCAGGACAATATTTTCTGTATCTATATACAGTAAGATTCAATTTATAAAAAAATAAATGAATACATAATGGTGTATACATACACATGTTTACATGTGTATTTTTTATATATGCACATATTTTCTTTATATGTATGGAAGGATATACATCTGTTAACATGCTACCCTGGGTAGCTTGCTTACAAAATGTACAGATGGCTTTTGTAATCAGAACAAAAGTAACTTTAAAAGTAATTGAAATAAAACAAAGTTGTCTCTGCAGGCCAAGCTATCTAAGTTATGCCCAAGAGAACGACAAGGGAATGCTTTGATGATTGACCTATTAAATAAGGTGATTGAGAAATTGACTGCAACAAACCTAAACTGAAGGGCAATCTACAAAATAATTGAACTAACAATTTCATGAAAGACAAAGACTGAGCAATTGCTCCAGACTGGAGGAGGCTAAAGAGTAATGACAACTGAACGCAACAATGATTTGTAATTTTCTTTTGTTATAAATACATTAGGACACTGATGAAAACTGAATAAAGCCTGTTGATTAAATAATAGTATTGTTGCAATGTTAATTTCCTGATTTTGATAATAAAGATTGTCTTTTGATAAGAGTATGCTCTTGATTTTAGAAATAAATATTGAAGGGCCGGCCCGGTGGCACACTGCTACAGTGCGCCGCTTGGGAGCACGGTGGCGCTCCCGCCGAGGGTTCGGATCCCACATACAGACCGGTTCCCGCTCACTGGCTGAGCGAGGTGCGGGCGCCAACACCGAGGTTTGCGATCCCATTGCCATCCCGGTCCGGTACGGGCGCGACACTGAGGGTTGCGATCCGTTGCCGGACATGAAAAAAGACAAAAAGAAATAAATATTGAAGCATTTAAGGGTTAACTGTAACTTACTAACAAACAGTTCAGGAAAAAAAGTGTACATATACGTGAGTGAGTGCGTGCGTGCGAGAAAAGACAGAGAAAGACAAAGAACGGGGAAAGAGATAAGGCAAAGGTGGTAAAACGTTAGAATTTGGAGAACGTGGGAGAAAGATACATAGGAAATCTTTTATTATTCTTACAACTTTTCTGAAAGACTACATCAAAATAGAAAATAAATCAAAATAGAAAATGACTTTTGAGCAAGAAGTCTGAATTAAGCCCCTTTCCATGTTTAAAAGAGGAAGGAAAAGTAAATCGAATTATTCTAGTACATTTATTATGCTTACCCAAATAATACGTTTGATTAGTATAGGAACTAGTCATTTTAAATATACCTGATTCAAATGCAACAAACAACCCAACTTCAGAGGTGCTGTTATAATTTCACAATTTACAGAGCAACTATTTTGAGATAGATATTAACAGTTACTAAAAATACAAGTGGACTTAATCAGCCAACTGTTGGTATCCATACATCAGATGGTCTTGAATTTGACAGTGGAAATATAATAAGACTAATGTTGAATTATTCCATTATAGGAGAGCATGAAAGAATGAAAATGGAACATGTCTTAGTCAGAGATACTAATCTTAAACAAAAGGAAAGGCTAAAATACTTTCTACAGAAATCTTCCCGTTTTTAATAACTTTTTATGCCGTAAACCATCAGTTGGTTGAAAATTTAGCTATTCATACAAATTCATTTCCTGAAGATGCAGTATGTTCAAGTATTACTAATATGTAAAGTTTCACTACTATTTTATTGGAAAGGTTATGATATTTTTCCATTAACTTTGCAATTTTAAAAGATCTTAGAGGCCAAATATTTTTCCAACAGGAAGCAATTCTGACATTATAATGGAAGCCAGTGAGAAAAATACTTGTAGGATCCACAAATCTGCTGAAGTATTCTGTTCTATTAAGGGCACCTGTGTATGCATGACGCACATAAATTAGAATAGCTTTAAGGGAAGCATAGCAGCTAGCATAAAATACATTTAGTACTTATATACCCTGCCTGTATATTTTCTTTCCATTGTTGGGCTTGTATGGATACCTATGCTGTTGGGGACTCTCATGAGCAGAGAAGCTTCAAAGAAATGCCTTAGTTATCAAGGATGAAAGTGCTTGGAGGCCTATTAACACTGGTAAGAATGTACAATTTTTCAAGCTAGCTTTGAATTTTGTTTCTAGTAATTTTAACAATATGGGTAAAACAAACCAAATCTATGAGAGCAGAGAAATAGGTTATGGCACACTATGGAAGTCTAAACAACTGAAAAAAGTGAGACGTCACAGTGTGATGGAGAGAAAGGAGCAAGGGTCTGTGAGTTACAACTTCTCTGGGCCTCAATTTTCCCCCCTCTAAAAAGAAAGTGCCACACTGTTCAAACCCACACAAACAACATGGAGCTGGTTCCACTTCAGTCTCACCCTTAAAAAGCAGGCATGGAGAGCAGCAATAGAATACAGTGGTATAAGTCAAAAAAATACCATTCATTTATTCAACCAACATTTACTAAGAACTATCATGGACCAGACGCTATGCTAGGGAAACAAGAGAAGAGATCCTGTCCATGCCCTCAGGCGGCTTATACTACTATAGCTCAAGCAGAGAACATCTGACACCATGTGATAAGTGCAACGCTAAAGGTGCACCTAGAGATTTTAAGTGGGTCCATAACAGGTATACCTAAGCAACCTCGGGTGGGAGCTAGGCCAGGAACGGCATCTTGGAAAAGATCGGCCAGAGCTCTCTTGATGGAGCACGAGTTAACAAGGGGACCCACCTGAGCTGAAAAAACAAAGTTGAGATGCACCAACTCCTGGAAACGAAAAGTAACCTTTCCTTGCCCGCCAAAATAATCAGAAGCATTATCATACATCACTTTCCAAGATCTGGGACGTCAACTGCCTGGTGAGTGGCCTGATCGCCATTCCAGGGTCTTTTTACCGCTTTCTGTTGCAGGCCGGGCCCTCCGCCCTTCCCCCGAAGGCTGAGGCGCACCTCCCGGAAGGCGGAGCTGCTGGCAGGTGTCTCCGAGTGGGTAATCACCCCGGTGCAGCCAGAATAAGGACAACAAGGGGACGAAAAAGACTTGGGATGCGGGCGTGTGTGTGAAGAAGCCCCAAGCTCTGTCCGGGTCCCGGACGCGACGGGCGGACTTGCCCGGACGCGGACAACTCCGGACGTTCACACAGCCGGACGCCGTCCCTCCGCGCCCCAGGCCCTGACGAGGGGACGACGCCAGGGGCCTAGGCGCGCTCGGCCCCCACTCACCGCCGTGGCTGCTGAAGTAGAACACCATGGTCCAGCGGCTGCGCGACGGCTCCCGCGCCCAGCAGCGGCCCCGGTCTCGCCAAGTTCAGGATCCCACCGGCGCGGCGGCCGGCCGCTCCCCGGAACTCCTGCGCCACTTCCGGCGGACGTGAGGCCGCGTCTAACGCCGGCCGGCAGCGCCATCTTTAGTGCTGGCGCGGCGAAGGGGCTGGCGGGAGCGGCGCTCGGTGCAGCGTCTGGGGCACCATGTTAACCTCCCTGTGCCTCCCTCTCCTCAGCTGCGAAACGAAGGCGATACTGCAACAGCTAGCTCATAGGACATTTTAATAAGCTAATAGGCGTCAAGGGCCTAGAACCCAGGGAGCACTCGAACGAGTTGCTGCTGATAGTCACCAGAGGCAGGACGCCTCCTGGGGTTGGCACTCAGACTGTTCCGCCTCTAGGTCTGTTCTCCCTGTGAGATTCGGGGAGTCCCAAACCTCTGACCCTCAGAGGGCCTCCTGCTTGAAGTGAGGTGATCTTGCCCATGCAGAGTTCCCACCGCAGCTAGCTTGGACCTGGTTATGTCTTACTTCATTCGGACTGACTTCATTCTATGAACTTGAGTGCCTCACTCAACTACATTTATCCGGAACTAAAAATGTGCCAGACACTGTACCAGGAGCTGGGGACACAAAGATAATAATAGCGAGCAAACAGCAAGTGCTTTAGGAGGTTTCCCAAAGCAAGAATGTAACCGTGTTCTGTGAATAGTGATCGTTTTCAAGCTGTTTTTTTCTCTAAAATGGACTAAAAATGTGCCAGACACTGTACCAGGAGCTGGGGACACAAAGATAATAATAGCGAGCAACCAGCAAGTGCTTTAGGAAGTTTCCCAAAGCAAGAATGTAACCGTGTTCTGTGAATAGTGATCGTTTTCAGGCTGTTTTTTTCTCTAAAATGCGGATGATACTAATATCTCGTCGATTGTGGTGAGGAGTAAATCAAACGACACACGGAAAGCGTCTAAGAATGCCAAGAGCGTTCATGCCCTGATTTAACTTTTTAAATTTTACTTGAAAAATTAATAATTTTAAAACGTGAAACTAACGATCGAGCTTCAAATCTGAAAAATACGTGAGTGCCTCCAGAATCTTGAAGATGCTACTTTACAAAAACTCACACCAAGTGACCCCAGGAGGCACCTCCGGCCCAGCTGGGCCGAAAACTACAATTCCCAGCATGCACTGAAACATGGCCCCGGGAATGGAGCCCGGCGTTACTGTAAAGGATTGCGGGAGGCGTGGTTTCCCTGAGCAGAGAGCTTCCCGCCTCCCTAGGGCGGGAGAATCTTGGAGACAGCCTCCCAGGCGGGCGGGGCAAGGACTAAGGAGCGACCAATCACCGAGCCAGCCCGTGGAAGCGCTGGGCAGCGGCGAATCAGAGCGCAGGGGCTTGCTCCTTGCCTGGCGCGCGATCATTTGAACACATTCACGGAGCTAGCGGCCCGGCTGAGAAGAGGTCACCCTTCTCTGAGGTGCTGGTAACCGCGGCGGAGGGCCATGGCGCGGGGTAGAAGACAGCGGAGAACGGGAGATTCTGTGGAACGTGGGGGTGGATGTCGGGGAAGAGAGCTTTTGCTCCGGGCTTGGCGGGTCGTGGGACCCGGACTGAAGCCACCGGCCGGTTCCCCACACTCCCGGGCGCCGGTTTCCATCTTCCTGACGCCGGCGTTGCTTGTCCGCTTGCCCTGACAGGAGGCAGGGACAGAGACGCTTTCCTTCCCTCTCCTCGCTCAGCCCCAGAAGGCTCTTCCTTATGCCACAGCTCGACATTAATCCCTAGAGACCCCGGTCTTTCTGTTTGTTTAGCTGTGAAATTACGCTTGTGTACTTTTGGCGGGGGGAGGAATATACTTGATCCAAAGGAAGGGAAGGGAATTAACTTATTGAGCAACTTATCTTCTGCTTGAGCGTTTATGTGCATGATTATACTTATTTTCAGCAGCCTCACGACGTCTAGGGCATTTTATAAATAAGCGAACTACTGGCTCAAGGTTCCTCAGCTAGCAAAATGGGGGAGGATTTTGCTTCACAACCATTTTCTTGCTGGGCTCTGATGAAAAGTGGCAAACGGTCTCTGCCTTCATTGACCGTACGGATTGTTGAAATGGCTCAACAAGAAAAGGTGTTTACGGAATAATAAAGGAAGCCAGTAGTGCAATGGAAGCAGAGAACGGGACACCTAACAGTGGGGTGAGGGAGGATGGCATGAGAGCAATGTCCAGGAAGGTATCCAGGAGATGAAGTGTTTAAACTGTTATGAATTAAGTAGGCTAATTAAAAGGGAGAAGTGTGCCCTGAATTAGGTTAAAAACAATTTCCTCCTTGTTAGGATCATTTTCCAGCTGGAAACATATGTGATCCCTACTTCAGCGGAAAAAAAAATTATTTTTCCCTAATTCTCATGAGCCTGAATATATGGCCCCTGCTTTTATTTTCTATTCTTATTTGCTACTGTTGTGTAGTGTTTTCTCTCTTTTTTCATTTGTATTCTTGGTTTAAATCATGTTAAAGTAATTTTCTTTCTAGAAAACACTTTTCTTGGATCATTATGAAACATCACCCATCTGAAAACTTTTCAGACTTTTAAATTATAACTTTGCTGTTGTATTTTATACCCTTTTGTTGAATTTGGCTATTGTTCTGTTGCTATTAGGAATTCAATTAACATGGCAGCTTTTACTCCAAGGAAGAGGAAGCATCATTCTTTGGACTGTGACAGGTGAGTCTCATCCTATGGATAGAAACTCTTAGAAAAATCTACTTTTTTGTATTGTTTTCTCTCTTATATGTTAAAATTTCTATTCTTCCATTAGCCTCCTCCTTGTGGCTATAGTAATATTCTGTATTCTAATTCTAGTCTAGAAATAGAAAATATTCTAATGTCTAGTCTGAAAGTAAGATTTCATAATGAATTATTTAGTCCTTTGGGAGGGAATCAAAGAAAGCTGTTTTCTGTGGCTAAGAAGTATGTCAAATCTTTTATTACCTTGTTTCTTTCCACTTTTTTCTGTAGTATTTAACACAGTGTTTTGCATACAGTAGATTCTTGTCTGTAAGTATTGTAGAAAGTCTGTATACTCAGTACTTACTACATGTCATACCCGAGACATAAATTACTCCCCAGAGAAAAGGCCCGAGGGGGTCAGTTTATTACAGAGAACTAAATATTATAGGTGACTTCTTGTAGCCAGTTCAACAAAATATATAGTCTATAATTTGCATATGGCCAAGACATAGAAATAGAGTTCAAAATACACAACACAAATACATGTATATCAAAGCTTCTTTGTAAACAATGTTTGTTTTTGTGAACATTATTGGAATCTTACTTTGGGAAGATATTGAATGCTTTGTTTGATAAAGTCAGAACTTGAGAATCCTACTGTTAGATGAACTAATAGATGATTTGAATGTATGTTTGGTGGGGAGGGGTTTTTTTTTCCTTTTAGCGTTTGCTTCTCAAAGGATGTATGGTTCTTAATATGATCTATAGGTAGAGTTTATTACATAGCAGTAGATTTACATAAATTTCGATGCAAAATAATGAACTTATCAATGGACTTTGTTTCTTTTCCTAGTCTATTATCAGACATTCCATCAAAGAAATTAATTTTGGACTTTACTGAAAATCTGTTTCCATCACCTAATAAACAGCACTTTTGTCAAAGCAGTGATGAAAATGAAGAAAAAGCACACTGTTCTCAACAAGGCCATTTAATTTCAAGTCCACACAAAATAACTAAAAAAAATAGATTGTCATCCACAAATCAAGGTTCACCCTTTAAATCTGTTTTGTCCACTGTGTCTTTTTACAAAAAAAATAAATGGTACCTCAATCCACTGGAGAGAAAGCTGATTAAAGAGAGTGGATCCACTTGTCTAAAAACTAATAATGAAGATAAATCTCTTCCCTTCAGCAATTCAAACTCTACAGTTCTTTCCCTCCTAACCCACCTCTCATCATTGTCTTCCTCACTGCTTCCTCTCAAATTTAACTAGTTTATACCTCTTGTAGTCATCTAAATTTCAAAACTCAATGGAAAGATTATAAATTGGTGATCACCTAAATTTCAGGACTCAGTGGCAAAGATTATAAATTAGTGGTCAAATCCAGCCGATGGATGTTTTGGTTGGCCTACATGATAAAAAAAAAAAAAAATTTGAGCCAACTTTTTTTTAAATGCAAGAAAACAGATTTCTGGTGTCTCATGAAGAATTGAAAGGTATGGCAAAGTTGAGCCCCCATTTCTGCACAGCAGTAATCTCAGAGCTGAGTATCATATCATTTGACATCACACCATTTGGCAGTTATGGTCTCTTCATTTCCCTACACTAAGTCAGTGTATGTATGAGGGTGTTTCAGAAAGTTGGTGGAAAAATAGGATTAAAAGATAATACAAATCTTTCCACAAACTTTCTGAAGTACCCTCCTTTATATATTTAGATCAGTCTAGCTTTGATATTAATTTTACTTAGCTGTTGCCCTTGAAGGCATTTAAGTTTGTAGTCTCCACTGTAAATGTTTCCTCCTGTTTATCAAGTATTGCAAAGTATGTTGTTAAATGAGACGTGCTTGCCGACAGTCTAATTCTACTAATTCTTCATATTCTTTTTCTACCAACAAAACACCCCTGTGTCTTGATAAAGAATTTGGTTACATGGATATGTAAGTTTATCAAAATTTATCAAACTGTACTATATACCTCTGCATTTCACTGTATATGTTTACCTCAGTTGAAAAAAAGTTAGGGGCACAGCTTAAGCTACAGTTTTCTCAATTCAGCGAAACAAAGTAGAGGGAGTCTGGAGTTTCTCCATCCATTACCTGATTATTATCTCCTTGGTAATGAAGATACAGCCTTTATATGGTGACCTGGTGAATTCTCTGCAACACCCTTTTCTGCTTTATTTTCCTTTTCTTTTTTGAGCTTCACTTTAAGAGACTAGGTATTGAGTTCTGTCTAGTTTTTAGTAGTCTGAGAAGCTGGGCTTTTGTGCATCTTAAATTTGTAGAACTGGATTCTGTTGTCTTTTCAGATTTTGCTGAATACCCACTGCTAGGATGCACCTCTGCTAGTAAGAGTGAATCTGATTTTCATGACGATACCTTTCACCAACTCATTATGGAGCCCTGAGAAATGGCAAACAGATGAGCTAATCCCACATCTGCTGAGACACTGTGCTCTTGAATAGGAGTTCTGTTTTAATCAAGAGTTTTTTCTCTTTTCCCCAAGCTGTGTATACCCTAGAGTTCTGTTTTAATCAAGAGTTTTTTCTCTTTTCCCCAAGCTGTGTATACCCTAGATCTCACCCAATTAGTAGTATTAGTGAAATTTGTCAGGATTTTTCCTAATTTTCTCACTTCCCTGTTACTACTCAAAAAGTGGGAACCTTTGTGGGAGACTCTAGAATGTTACTTAAGAATGTTATTTTCCTTTCCTTGGCTGCTCGTTTTCAACATTTATGACAAAAAGTCACTTTTTAGTTTGGTGCCTGCTGTGAAATTTTGCCATTTTACAATTTTTTTATTCATTTTATTATTGCAGAAGGGATGGTCTATAATCTTCATTCTGCCATCTTTATCAGGAAGCACAATACATTTTTGATAGGATGACAAATTCCAATATGTGCACTCTGGCTTCTAAAAGATGATGTACATTTAATGATTACATAGGAAATTTTCCTGAAAATAGATTGAAAATCACAATATGAAATGTAATTCATAATAAACTAAATATTTTGTTTTAGAAGCAGATCTATTGGGATACATTCACTAAATATAATGCAATTACAGTCTTCATTTACTCTTTTTTATCTGTTCATTATTTTCAGGATTCATCAGATGGAGTAGTTTCTTCAAGTGAAAAAAATGAGCCTTCAGAGGATTCTTTTTGTGAGAAAAAGACAAGTAAGTAAGAAAACTTCTCACACAAGTTTGGCAACTCGTAATAATGCTTCATTACGTGTCAATATGAAATTCCATGCAATAATATTTTCTGGCTCTTTTTTTTTTTTTTCAGTAATATGCCTGTGGTTAGTATCTTTGTGTTTATCTCTGTGACACTGTTATCTGTAGTGAAGCAGTACATTTTGAAAAGCAGGATACAAGCAGATCTTGGGTTAATACCTTAGACAAAATACTGATCCTTAATTTGTCTGTGGCTGTGGCCAAGTTACTTAAGCTCTCTAGAGTTGGGTGTTCTCATTATAAAATTACACCTATCCTACTTTTTCCCCAAAATAATAGGAAGGAGTAAAACAATTTATGTTATATATATATTTGTGATCAAAACCCAATTGTGAGCAGAACTTGCTAAGCCATAGAAATGACACTGAAATTGAGCATCAGGAACCCTGGGATTATGTCTAGGTCTACTGCTGTTTAGCTGTGTGATCTAGGAAGAGATCTCTAAAGTAAGGGATTAATCTTAATTTTTAAATTCCTCTTAGGTCTGAAATCCTATTACTAATTTATGGTGTCACTGTTTAATCGAACAATATGTACTAAATTGTGAATATAAAAAGAGGTTAACTTTTTACTTACCAATGAGATTCTTGATAACTTCACCTCTTTGTTTATATGTATAAATTCAGAAATAAATTAAAATTCTAGGAGTAGACATGCTGATGGTAGTGAGAAACTGTAGCTCATAGGAAGGAAACCAAAAGACAAAACTAAAAGAACAATTTGAAACAGTAGCCCTTAGAGGATCTAATGATATATAGGATAATTATTCAGTATGATAATTCTGAGATGTAATGTTAATAACTAGATTTCCTAAGTGCTGAATATGTACCAGGAAGTATTTAATATATGTTATGTTTCCTGTGGGTTGCACTCCTAGCACTAATATAACAACACATAACAGAGAAATAATGGCTTCTATTTACAATAGTTATAATTTTTTTTAAATAAATTTATTTTAGTACATTGTCCTTAAGAAAAATATTTAGTGAATAAAAATAATACAGATAGTACAGAATGTAGTAAAATTCATTAAAGTAATCTACAATGACTGGAGTTTATTATATAATAACTATGATTTGCCATTTAATTCTCTCAACAGTCCTGGGAAATAGGTTTTATTGTACCCATTTTATAGATGAGGAAATGGACTTAGGTGAAGTAACTTACCCATAGCAGATCAGACTCTCACCTGCCATGGTCTTACTCCTAGAGGACGGGCTCTAATTATTTTTCAGTGCAAAGTTAAAATTTGCTTTTTACTAAATAGCCCATTTTCAATTTATTATTTTTCTCACATCAACTGCTATTTTAACTTTGGTCCTTTTTTTTTTTTTGGGTCGCTAGCTGATACAGGGATCTGAACCCTTGACCTTGTTAACAGCTGAGTTAACCAGCCAGCCCCTTGGTCTTTTTTTTAATACTCTTTTTATTTTGCCATAAGTTTAGATTTACAGAAAAATCATAAAGATAGTACAGAGAATTGCTGTATATTCCTCGACCTATTTCCTCCATGGTTAACATCGTGTATTACCTTAGCACCTTTGTAAAAACTAAGAAACTGGAATTGGTATATTACTGTTAATTAAACTCTAGACTTTATTTGGAGTTTTCCTCTAATGTTATCTTTCTGTTATAGAATCCAGTCCAGGGTACCACATCACATTTAGTGTAATGTCTCTTTAGTCTCCTCTTGTCTGTGGCATTTTCTCAGTCTTTTCCTTGTTTCTGTATTTTTCATGACCTTGACAGTCTTGAGGAGTACTAGCCAGATATCCTGTAGAATGTCTGTGAATCTGTGTCTGATATTTTTCTCATGATTAGACTGGGGTAATGGGATTTTGTAAAAGAATACCTCAGGAGTGAAGTGTCCTTCTCACCAAATCAGAGGGGGTACATGATAGCCATACGACATCACTAGAGTAACCTTCACTAGCTTAAGGTCATGTTTGCCAGGTTTGTCCACTGTAAAGTTATTATTTTTCTTTTTCTGTACTCTCTTATTTTGGAATCTAGTCACTAAGTCAATCCTCCCCTTTCAGGGGGGCAGTGGGGATAAAGCTCCATCTCCTGTAGGGGGAAATACTGTTTGAAATTCTACTCTAAGGAAGATTTTTCTCTTCTCCCTCATTTATTTAATCATTTAAATAAATAAATGGTGTTATGGATGCTTATCACTATGGATTCATAAATATTTATTTTACATTTGGGGTTATAATTCAATACGTTATTTATTTCATTGCTCAAATTGTTCCAGCTTTGGCCATTGGGAGCTCTTTTCAGGTTGCTTCTCTTTGGTTTCTCTCTCTCTCTCTCTCTCTCTCTCTTTTTTCAGGTTGCTTCTCTTTGGTTTCTCTCTCTCTCTCTCTCTCTCTCTT